GAGCAGGGGATTGGCCATGAAGATCTCCAAGGTCCCTTCCCACTCTATTATTCTGTTATATCAAAGGTACTGATCTAGAACTGTGAGTTGTAATCCCATCTTGGCATGAAAGCTTGTTGGGTGACTTTGAGCCAGTTCCTTTCTCTCGGTTCAACTTACCTCACAGTTTTGTTTTGGGGAGGAAAAAGAGGAGGAAGAAGGAATATTATGCATATTAGGAAGTTTAAGAGGAGGATGGTTTTATATTCTGTCATATTACAATTTATAAATATCAGCTGTCTTAGATATTTTACAGAACACAAAAATTCCTGCCAGAAGTCTTACAATTTCTAAATCTGTCAGGACAAAGGTGGATCAATGGGGTACCTACTTTCAAGGCTATGTATAGATTAGATTGAAAGAGGCTACATTTATTCCTTTGACATTCAGCTCCCAGACCTATCAATTATTCATGTGCCCACTGTGCACTATTTGGGTATGACATACTGTATATTCCATTGTCCATCACGGAGTATGTTAGGAAGCAAAACGTTCAAGGTATCTTAGAGGTATTTGTATTTGTATTATTATTATTCACATTTGAACTGAATTTCCATAATGTGGCAATAAATCCAGCACTGGAAACAAAGCAATGTCCCTTAGTATGTACTGTGAAAAATATTTAAATAATACATCTCCAATTCACAAAACTCTATGACTAAATTAAGGTAAAACATCAGAATTGTATGTGACCGGTAGTATATCTTTTGTGCTTTATTAACTATAATAATTTTTTTTATTTTGTCAAGTACATATTAGATAATATATATAAATATAAGCATGAACTGAAAACATAAAATGAATACAATTAAAGGGAACATTAGGACAGAGACAGTAGGCACGCTGGTGCTCTTATGCACGCCCCTTACAGACCTCTTAGGAATGGGGTGAGGTCAACAGTAGATAGTCTTAGGTTAAAGTTTTGGGGGTTTTGGGATGAGACCACAGAGTCTGGTAGTGCATTCCAGGCATTGACCACTCTGTTACTGAAGTCATATTTTCTGCAATCGAGTTTGAAGCGGTTCACTTTAAGTTTGTTGTGTGCTCATGTATTATTGTGGTTGACTCTCTTAACAGGGACATAGTTGCAGGGCTTGGACGCCTCCACATGGCGACCACTGAATATGGTACCTTAAGTACCAGAACTAAGATCCAAGCTACCCTTCTGCAAGGTTAATTACTCTATAGAAGACTTGTTACTGGTTACTAAAATGACTATAGTATTCAGTCCTGGTCCCCCTGGATATGTGGACTCCAGTGACAGAGATGGGAATGCCAATAGTACATGTTTTAGTACAATAGTACAGTATTGAGAAAGGATAGGATTTTATTAATTTGAAATATTTCTTTTCCACTAAATAAAAGTCGAATCTTTTAAATTTAAATCAGAAAATTCACAATAAATGAAAGTTTATTGTCTATGCCCGAGGAGTCCCGGTTAGCAGAAAGTCAGTTGTGTAGGGCCTCCTACTGGTCAGTACCTAATGTTACACCCTCCTCTTAAGGAAAAGTGGCCTTGAGGCCTGTAGCACTAATCCCAGGTCAACAAAGATCAGAAAACTGTCTAACAAGAGAGCACATAAAAAAGAGAAGGTATACTTGCATAGCTTCAATCAGTGAAATTATTGGTTTCCCCTCTACCCCCAATACCTTTAAAAATAGTAAATATGTAATGGCAAGAAAGCATACTGGTTATTTTCAAAATGAGAATATCAATTAGTTCCCACATCAACTCCATTTGCTATGTTCACATCATTTTCTGAAACTTAATTTCTATAAGTTATGTATTATTGTATCATTTAGCTAGTGTAACAACACCCCCTACTGTTCATAATCCTTCAACATGTGAGGAATTATTTTATATTCAGCATGCCAAATATCTCTCTCTCCTTGGCTGCATCATTATTGTAAAGGAGTACCGAAACAGGTATATTGGCTACATTGGGAGTGAAGTCAAAAATCAGGTAATGACAAGGTTAAAACTGAAGAACTTTTTAATATATAAAAAAATTAAGAAGAGCTCTTGCAGCTTGGAGCTCCACCTCTCACTGTAGAAAAAAATTGTCTCTATGATAAAGCAGAAGTGTTGATTTTTCTTCAACAATGATTGTCTACTATTTAAACAGGTAGCTTTCTATCAAAAAGGTTGGATATCTGTCATATTTTTGGGAAGACAAATGGGTCATCTGTTGGGCAAATTAAGTTATTTAAATAGTTGGATGTTTGCTTTGAATTTCCAACCATCTTAAAAAAACAAGTAAGGGCTGTTTCAGACCCACAGATATTGAAATGTTACTTTATGTTATCCAACTATATGGGCCACAATTATGCACCTGCTACAATAAAAATATTTACAGCAAAGGTCATAATGACACATGGATTTATAGTCCTGATTAAAATTTCTAGAAATAGACCAGCCTAGATTTAAAAAATAAATAAAATCCATTTGGAACTCTCTAGATCAGAGAGTCAATCAAACCTACACCAATATGTATAATATGAGTTTAAAAAGCAAGAGCCTGAAGAAACTGGAGCAGTATTCATTTTGTGACCAAAGAATGCTTTATTATTATACCAACTTTGGGTCCAGTTTTACTATCCTATCAGTGCTATAAAGATTCAAGAAATGAATAAATCTTCCTTTTTTCTCCGCATTGCTTTTGACCATTAGGGAGCTTCATTGCTTGAGACTAGGCCATCTAGTAGACTTCTTGGCTTTAACATGTTGCTGTCCTTAATATAAGATATTCTTTATATATTTTGTGGTGCATTGCTCCCGGTTCGGTCCAGTTTTTGTGAACCAATAGTAATGGTGGTGGGAGGCTCCGCCCCCCCCTCCCAGACGTCATCATGAACAATCTGTGCATGCATGTGCGCTCCCGTTGCGAACCGGTAGCAAAGGTAAGTAGAACCCACCCCTGCTTTGTATACTGTATATAAATTTGCAACCAAAAATAACCATGTAACCATATATAAATATGTTTCAAACTTCTCTTAAGTGTAAATATTCTTCTATATTTGGTGAGGATCTATTAAAAGACAATATTATCAGTGTAGCTCAACTCTTCGTAACTTATATAGACATGTCAGCCATTATCTTCTTAAAAGTTTTTTTTTTTTTTTTAACTTCCTAGTCTACAGTCCTGGATTATCTAGTTGGTACTCTTTATAAACACTAACCAGGGGCAATCCTGTTTATCTTTCTAGGTCAGGCAAAGTCAGCTAGGTATTGCCATCTGTTGGGTAAAGAGCAGATCCAGAAAGCCCTAAAATAATAATCTGTTTTAGAAATTGTAGTCCCTCCAACCCAGAAAAGACATAAGGATTTCTTGCATTTATTACAAACCTTACATTACAACTTTGACTTTTGCCTCCTCCATTGTTATTGGTTATAATGTTTTTGGGTTATAACATACTACAATGGAATTTAAAGAATTTACAGTTAAGAGGGGTTTGAAACATATTTATTTCCTAAGGTTATGATAACTACCAATAATTAGGAGACTTGTGATATTTTTACTATATTTTATAAGCCCGTGATGGCATACCTATGGCACGTGTGCCCGAAGTGGCACACGGAGCCATGTCGCCTGGCATGTGCAGCATCGCCTATTCCTCTTCCAGGTTTCTGGCGTGCATGCCAGGGGTGGATTCTTCTTACCTTTACTACCGGTTCGCAACAGGAGCACATACACTTCTGCGCATGCACAGATTGTCAATTATGACGTCCAGGCAGGTCGACGGAGCCTCCCGTCACTTTTACTACCAGTTCTAAAGAACCGGACAGAACCAGGAGCAACCCACCACTGGTGCATGTGCATGCGACAATCAGCTGGCCTTCGTCTATGCGGCAGTGCTGGAAACCGGAAGAGCTGGTCTTCCATTTTTCTACATGAGCATGCATGCCGGCCAGCTGATCATTGTGAACGCATGCAAGCCAGAAACCTATAAGACTAGCTGGCCAGCGCGCATGTGCACATCGGAAACCAGAAGTTCATTTTCGGGCATGCACATGAGCCTGTGGGCAGCTCCTCTTCTGGGTTGCCGCCCAGACAAGTGGGCATGCTTCCCTTTTCAGTATTCAGCGCCAAAAAGGTTCTCCATCACTGTTATAAGACATCAGGACCATTAGAATACTTACCAAATGTACAAAGTATATAAATAAACCAATTTTTTAACAAATGGGGTTTCTTTACTTGTCTCTTTTCTTAAAATTACTCAGTTAGACATAATTGTCTAATACTGTGGTTGAAAATCAGAATAATTCAAATATTTCAATATATTCTTTAGACCATAATAGTACAAAAGTGAGTCCTTCCGTTTAATAAACATTGTTTTCCTTTCTTTGCCGGTGTGCTTACAAATCCTTTAAAAATCTTTTTAATAGTGTCTCTGAGTTAAATTTATTACTGTAAAGAGAAGAAAGATAATGCATTTTCCGTTACTTTTTCCATTATTCTTCAATTTCCACTAAATATTAGCTTTTGCATAAATTCTGTATTTATTACAATGCAGCCAGGTATTTAAATTAACAAGCAAGAGGGTATATACATATATCAAATACTTATTACATGTGGACATATGCATATTTCATTAGGCCAAAGAAAGAAGCTTCATCGTATCCTTTACCATTAAAGACTTACTTGAATCTCTACAAATTACACTTGAACTTACCTGGAAAAATAATAGCCCCTTGTAAGGAGAACATATTTCATCCTTGACCCCTTTTGTGGCAATGACATCGCCAATCAAAGAGTAATCTTTGACAAATTTCAAGAATGCCCAATTTCCATTGCGTCCATTGTCAGACAGTATAGGGTTTCCATTTGGTGAAGGCCATGTCCAATATAATGTAATCAACAGATGTTGTTTTTTTTCCTTAACAGTTCTCACTCATTTGATAAAGTAGAACTTATGTAGACATTTTTCCCAAAGAAAAAGGAAAAAAAATGGAGTGTGTATATGTTTAGGGTTTTGCCTTTTATTGAATTATAAAGTGGTCAAGGAGTATGAGTGAATGCTTTGTCCTTTGTGATCCTTTCAAATGTTCTTATTATTGTTTAATCCTCATTTAGAGTCACCTTCTCCCATCTTCACAATGTCTGAGGAAGCCGTGTCTTGTAGAATTTGTTAAGAGTTCAATAAAATTTGGAAGGTACAGGGACACAAATGCTTCTGTGTGAAGAACAGGGAGAGACCTATTGGAAAACCAGTGAGCTTGACAGTGGATGGTACTGTCACTTTTTTAAAATACCATGTTCAACTTTAGATCAGAGGATCATAAATGATAACATTCTCTTTTATCTTTATAACAATCCTGAGAGATAAGCTTCTCTGAGTGAAAGCACCTTGCCCAAGCACACAGTTAATTTTACGGCTGATAAGAATTTGAACTTGTATCTCTTCCACACATGGTTCTCTTCAAAGCTACACTTAGACAAACAAAACTCCTCCTTGTGTCATTTCAGAGCATCTTGTATACTTGCCTTTCAGCTAGGAAAGATAAAAGACAGGTTTTCTGGACTTCAGATGGAATTCAGACAAGCAGCTGAAACCTATAAAAGGAAATATGTTTCTTTCTCAATTGGATTTTCTCCATTCTCCTTCTCCTTCTTCTTCCTTACAATAGGGTTCTCTGATCTTTCTCTCTTATTTTGGCAAAAAATCTGGTTAATAGGAAGCACACTGATAGTTAATAGCCATTGGTAATCCAGAAATCAAATCCTATCAGATTTTGATTTCACTCCTTCAGGCATTCACTCACATTGATAGCCATCAAAAAGTTTTATAATATACCTTTTTTCCAGAATTAATCATAATCTTAATCCTAATCCTTAATATAAACATCTAATCAAATATAGTTTGATTATATTTGATTAGATGTTATATATGTGTGTGTGTGTTTTAAGCTGTTGAGAGATTGGTTTTATTCTTTCTTCATTTGCTTCTCAAGTGAAATGCAAAGAATGAAACAATGGTAAAATGTAAATATCTTGTACACTGATCATAAATTATAAAAGAAAGTTGCTTGTAACTTAGTCTTTTAGGCCTTTTGAGAAACTTAGCTCATTTTTATGACCAAAACTTCAAAGGACAAAAGCCGCTTCATAAAAACATCTAATGTTCATTCTAACTGCTGAGGATAACTCTAAATGCTTAAAAGTTTTATAGTTCTTAAATGATTACAAGAAACCCAGCAAGAAGTATAATGGGTAGGATTGTGTTTTAATCAAAACCAGATCAGAAACTACTGTGTACAATTTGGAGTAGGAAAGGCTGACCTTCCTGGAGTTCAATTTTATTTTAACCTGCTTCACAATTTTTTGGATTGCATAAATTCAGATTTTAGAAGACTGATTTTGAAACTGTTTCTTCTGTTTCTTCTTGAAATAGATAACTATTTCAATGTAGCATGTTATAAATCTTGTATACAATTATTTAAAATTTAAGTTGAATCAGTCAATAGTTCTAACCATAATACCTAATCCTGTTAGAACATATCATCCACATCAGGGGTGAAATTCAAAAATTTTCCCTACCAGTTCTGTGGGTGTGGCTTGGTGGGCATGGCAGGGGAAGGATATTGCAAAATCCCCATTCCCTCCCCACTCCTGGGGGAAGGATATTGCAAAATCTCCATTCCCACCCCACTCTGGGGCCACCCAGTGGTGGTATTTTCTGGTTCTCCGTACTACTCAAAATTTCCACTACCGGTTCTCCAGAACCTGTCAGAACCTGCTGAATTTCACCCCTGATCCACATTGAGAACCACTGATCTACACTGTTTAAAGTAAATTATGCCCAGTGTGGTGATGATGTTGTTGTAGGCTACCTGTCTTTCCAAATATTGGAAAATTTCAATGTTTTTGAGACAATATTTTGAGAGTTGTACAGAGAGGAGAAAGCCAAATTCAAGTCCACTCTCAGCCACTGGGTGACTAGACCAGACATTCTCAGCCGAAGGTATCTCACAGGAAAGTCTGAAATGCTATGCTATATATACTATCATGAGCTTCTGAAGAAAAGCTCAGAACATACGTTTAACAGTACTGTATGGTTGGTTGATGTATTTATTTATCAACTTTATGTATCAGTCCATCTGACAAAACAAGAGATTCCTCCTAATAAATCATCACTATCCCACCATTTTAAGACCAGAAGCACACACAAAAACAGTATTGTAAGTCCTGAGATACACTTAGCACTGCTATAAAAGACCACACAGTACACCCGAACAAAACAAAGAAATAAAATAAGAAAATATTAAAAATCTAGGCTCCACCCACCTGTGTGATTCAGCCTTATCTATTTGACCTCTGCCAATATGATTTTTGGTTCCACCAAAATGTTATTTATAGTTTCTGGCTGACAAATGAATATCAACTCTTGGTCTTGTTTCATGGGATTTTTTTACATGTAAGCCCTAACTGAACAAACACTGTGAACCAATTTCATATTTAATGCTTTTCTTCATGGGATTTGAGAGATGCATCCATTGATATCTCTTCTGTTGCCAAGCAGACACAACTAAGATTTCTCTAAACAGAATTTGAAGCTTGTATTTATTTATTACCATAACAGCTAGAGTCGCACAATTTGTCAATGTGTCTACATTTTTAGAACAATCTTTTTGGTAGGAATAAATTTTGCTGCCCTGAGAATAAATAAAAGTCACTTGGGAATAATCAACTTCTTTCCATCTCCTTGATGAAGACATTTGCAGATGATGGCATATCCTTATCAAAAAGAGAACAAAATGAGATTCTCATCTTTAGTCATTTCCCCTCAAATAGCCTTTTACCGAACTGTCCTAAGGCAATCCTGCCGAGAAGCATCTAATTATTAATTATCTCTATTTTTTTTTCTATTTACTTTCCAAATATCAAGAATAGGAGTGGTGCTACTTCACTATTAAAAATGAACTGCTAAAAAAGCCAGTATTGTTTTTCCAGAATATATCACTCAGCTACAGCCCTCATTTATAATCAGTAAATGAAATTTGTTAACCCAGCAATGGCAAAAGAAATAATGGGGGTTGCCCATGTAGTCAGTCATCAGGTGTCAAGCTCCATTTAATGAGAAGCTCCTGTTTAGTGACAAAAGAGGATGGATACATAAATCCAGATAAACAAACAAACAAACAAATAATAAATAAATAAATAAATAAATAAATAAATAAATAAATAAATAAATAAATAAATGGTAAAGATAAGACTGATTGTAAAGAATAATGATGGAGAGGATGAGTTAGTTGCACTAATAACATTAATTAGTATTTTTCTGGTTGTGATGTAATACTATTCTGCTTTGATTTCTGACTTGTGTATACCAGCTCCTGGATTTTTTGTCTTTTCATCCATTTGTTCTTAAGCTTTCCAGCTACAAAGCATATCTACCTATTCATTTATAGGTTGAGTATACTATATTAAATTCCTGAGAATATCATGCCTTTCAATAGGTAAAATCATATCTCACTGGGCCTACAAATGGCTGAACTGAATCTCTGGCAATAACTTCACAAAACAAACTGATTCAGAAGTAGCTTTCTAAAAATTGAAATTCCCAAATCTTCTAGCTAACATGGTCATATCCTGGAACCTATAAATAATGCCAAACTGGAACAAACTGTCTTGGAATAATAAAAACTAAAGTGGAATTCATCAAGGGAATGGATTTCATTTTTTTCTTAATATTTTAACATAGTTTAGAGCACGGGTGTCAAACTCACAGTCTCACATTGCTGCCACATAACATTTCACGACATTTTTTCCCATTCATGGAGCTGGGGTGGGCGTGGCCTGCACGGGCTGCCAGTTTGACACCCCTGAGTTAAAGCATTCTCCATGTTTGAAAATGAGCTAAAATAGCTATTTGAAGTAAAATATATGTAATATGTATGTTGTCAATTAATATTTGGAAATGGCAGATTATGTGGAATTGTGAGTAAATAATGAAGCAGAAATAGTTAATTTACATCTAAATTGTAACAAGATCAATTTTACCATAACAAATATACTTAGAGTATAATTCTATGCATTTTTGTTCAGAAGGAATAAGTCCCACTGAATTCAGTAAAGTTTAGTCACAGGTAAATGAGTATAGAATTTCAGCCATAGTTATTTGATTGAAATAAATTTCATGGAATAACTACTGCAGTGCATTTCATGTGGAATTGTCTTAGGAGATAGTCTGGATATTGCCATCTTTCTTTAAGAGAAATAAAGTGAAAAGAAAATGTACAGATTTCAAAAACTGCATTATTTTTAAACTACAATAAATTATTGTTTCCACTCCCCCAAGCATTGTATTCAGACTGAGCCAATTGATTCTAAGATAATACTATAAAAATATCAATACATGTATCAAATCAATGCCAAGGTCAACAATGATTTTAAGGATTGCTATCAATGGCGGGTTGCTACCGGTTCACCCCGGATCGGGAGAACTGGTAGCATTGGTGGCGGGAGGCTACGCCCACCAGCCCGGACACTTCTGCGCATGCACACAAGTGCCACATGCGTGTGCACACGAGCGAACCGGTAGCGACGGGATTTGGAACCCGCCCCGATTGCTATTCAAATTAAGTAATTGTTTTAATCTTTCTTCTAATACTGTCTTGATGGAGAAGTGTAGTTATTACATACATGAAAGTTATACATGCCCCCAAATAGAAATGCAGCTGACAGGCTGAATAATACACTTATTTACAAAAAGCAGCTTTAAGCTGTGCTTCACAGATCATTAGCTTCAGAGGATTAAGTATGCACCATTCACAGATTTAGTTAGGAATTCTTTCTTTTCAGGATATTGTAACAGGTATGAAACTCCATTCAAGCCATATGGTAGCAAAGGGCAGTATTTCATCCCAGGGGCCTTGTCAGACTTACCCACAATCTATTGTCAGGCGCTGTTGGTGGAAAATTGATACTTAGTTTAGCTCAACGGAAGTCCCCTTGAAGATACTATCAAGAGTACAAAGATCACGCCAACTGCCTTGCATTTATGTCAATCTGCCACATGTTTCTCTTCATATTGGTGCTAATCACATCCTAAATTGGATGCCTTACTTCTTTCATTTTAAATTGCAGAGGCTTTTGTATATTTGGTGACTTGGTTATACATGTTCCAAGAAGCAATATTTCAGTACACAATATATAATTGCTCATATAAATTATTTTGCATGCTAGGGCAAATTATTCAATGTTTATACAGGTTCTAGAAATATCAATTTGAACTGGAAACTTTAGCATTATTTTTATTCTTTCCAATCACTAGTAACATTATTGTTACTAGTAATTATTATATTACTAGTAACAAAATATAATATTATTATTTCTTCTCAATCGTTTTGTTAATATTTTTAAACAGATTTCCAGGATTTAGTGGCAATTGTAGTGATGGGGAATTGCAAAATTTACAGATTTATGTTTTCATGATAAAAAATTCAAGCCTTTAGCAATAAAGTTACTTAAGTTTGATATGTTGGTATACCCAGAACCAGCACTCAGTATCATGAGATCAATGGTGGGTCAAAGTAAATGGCCCATGGTTTACAGAAGATCCTATGCAAATATTTCCAACTTTGCCAAAAAAGCAGGAACCATTTCACTCAACATTGTCTCTTAGTTCCAAAAGTCTCTTTGAGTCATGCCCAAAATGAGCATTGGTATTGCAGTGCCTATAGTGGCCTTGCCCAGTGTTTTCATTTTATAGAATTGACAGGTTCTTATAACATAAGTGCCAGCATCAACATCCATCCTGCTACAGCTATAACCAATTTTATACATCACTTGATGAGCTGATTAGTGAAAATTGGCAGATAACTAAAAGTTTCCAGTTTGGCATTTCACAGGAATGTGTGAGTCACATTATTGATGTTCTTCAATATCAGAAGGTTTGCAGACAATTGAAATTGAAATAATTGTTGTTATGCTATGAGAGTGAAGGTGAAAATTTTCTTCATAGTAATAGACAGCCAATAAAACATGAGCTCACATTATAAATCAGAAATGAAATATCAGTCTCTGGAATATTACTACAAAGTTTCCCCTAAAAAACAAAATTTAAATATCAGGATAATAATTTTGGGGGAGCAGATAATACAGGTAGTTCATTTAGTGACCATTCAAAGTTACAATGGCACTGAAAAAAGTGACTAATGACCAGGGGTGAAATGTAAAATTTGTTACTACTGGTTCTGTGGGAGTGGTTTGGTGGGTGTGGGGGGGGTAATGTGACTGGGTAGGCGTGGCCAACTTTTTTTTTTTTTTAACTTTTCAAAGCATTTTTTCTAAGGCTTTGAAAAGCCTCTGCCGATCAGGCAACTCAGCTGCTTTGAAAAGCCTCTGATGATCCCAGCTGAGCCGCGCGATCATCAGAGCCTTTTTTTTTATTTTAAAAGCATTTTTTCATCAGAAGAGGTTGTAGAAAAAATGCTTTTAAAAATAAAAAAAAAAGCCTCTGATGATCGTGCGGCTCAGCTGGTAAGTGGGCGGGGCCCACAGGGATTTTTGCTACCAGTTCTCCGAACCACCCCCCGCCATCGCTACCGGATCGGGCGATCCGGTCCGAAACGGGAGTATTTCACACCTGCTAATGACCATTTATTACAATTATGATCTTTGTAGGAGTCCCATGATCATGTGATCAAAATTTAGAAACTTGGCAACTGGTTCATACTTATGACTGTTGCTATGTCCCAAAGTCATGTGATCACCTTTTGCAACCTTTTGACCAGCAAAATCAATGGGGAAGCCAGATTCACTTCACAACCATGTTATTAACTTATCAGCTGCAGTGATTCACTTAACAACTGTGGCAAGAAAGGTCATAAAATGGGGCAAACCCACTTAATAAAAGAACAGAAATCTTGGGCCCAATTGTGGTCATAAGTTGAGGACTACCTGTATTGTTCACATGAATTTCTTTGAACCTGGTACTACAATCAACTCTACAATCAAGTGTTCAAGCAGAGTTTGGAAACACAGAGGAATTTTGTTGTGGCTACCAAGCTCTCAACAAGAAGCAAATGAGAATTTGGATATTTACCATATAGTCCGAACATGGCATCATGAACTTCTATCTTTTCTCAAAATTAAGTAATATCTTCACAGGTATCTGTGACTCAAATGAAGAGGCAGAGAAGACTATCAGCATCTGGTTGAAGAGAAAACATTTCTTTTGTGACTGCTTTAGGAATCTTATTCAACACTGGCAGAAGTGTGTACTGAGTTGGGGTAATAGGTGGGAAAGTAAATACAGATAACAAAAGAAGTCTTTTCAGGGTTTATTTTCCTGTTTTATTTGTAAAAATATCCATATTTTTAAAAGGGTATGGAAGTGAAGGCATTATTCTTCATTCCATTCTTGTGTAAGACTCTGAGATCATCAGATGCTGTTTTGAAGTGCACAACCAAAACAGCCACAGAGTAGTAAGGAACTGAGCCTATTAACCAATTCCAAGCCAAGGAAGAACACTAATCTATATTTAGAAAGAAGAGGGGGTCAACTTATTCTCCAAAACATCTGACGGCAGGACAAGAAGCAATGGATGGAAGCCAGTGGTGGGTTTCAATTTTTTTTACTACTGGTTCTGTGGGCGTGGCTTGGTGGGCATGGCAGGGGAAGGATATTGTAAAATCTCCATTCCCACCCCACTCCAGGGGAAGGATACTGCAAAATCCCCATTTCTTCCCGATCAGCTGGGACTTGGGAGGCAGAGAATAGATGGAGGGCAGGGCAGTCAGAATTTTTACTACCGGTTCTCTGAACTACTCAAAATTTCCACTACCGGTTCTCCAGAACTGGTCAGAGCCTGCTGAAACCCACCTCTGATGGAAGAAAACTAACCTAGAACTAAGGAGAAATTTCCTGTCAGCTAGAACAATTAATCAGTGGAACAATTTGCCTCCAGAAGTTATGGGTGCTCCATCACTAGAGGTTTTTAAGAAGAGATTAGACAACCATTTGCCTGAAATGGTATAGGTTTCTTGCTTGAGCAGGGAGTTGGACTAAAAGACCTCTGAAGTTCCCTCCAACTCTATCATTCTGTTATTCTGTTATTCGTGATGTTCTTAAGAGCACCAAAAATGAGAGATTTACAGTATGTCTAGAATGAGTTTTAGTCCCAAAACTGCCTTAGGACAACTTACAGCTAATTATGCACTGTTATAACTGCCTTTTGCCATGTCTCATGATTCTAGAACGGGTCGATGCAAGCAGCGATACTATTCTAGGTTCTCCATTTCTGCTTCCTTTATAAATTTGCTCCTGAATTTCTCCTATAAAACAAAACAACTCAGGGAAATGAGAGACTCCTAGATATTTGTGATCACTAAAAGTTTTGGAAAATGACTGCTTTCTATCTATTCAAGTGAAATAAAATCATATCCTCCCAGCACATGCTCAATTGCCTCAGAGATCATGATAACCCATCAATTGTTATCAATTATACTGCCATATAAATCTGTTTAATAAATAAAAGAAAGAAAATTGATATTTTGATATGGTTTATGAGATAACCGTATCTTTAAAATGGTAGTGAGAACTTTATCCTTCCTTCCTTCCTTCCTTCCTTCCTTCCTTCCTTCCTTCCTTCCTTCCTTCCTTCCTTCCTTCTTTCTTGATATTATTTTTCTACCTTTTTTGTAACTTAAATCACTACTACCACTGCCAGTTTCTCAGTAATGCACTTGGGGCATTAAAGGAAAGGAAAATATGAGACAAATATGCTAGGAAAGAATTCTTCTGTTGCCCATGACAAAGGCAAAATAACATTTAAATCTGATTTCAGAGACCTTTTATACATTTGTGAGAGAAATTTATTCTGTGTTATTCAAGCCTTTGTAAGGTACTCCCTGGGAAGTTGTATTTTCCCTTTATTCTCTATGCCAGTGGCCACCAACTGGTGGTCCATGGACCACTGGTGGTCCGTGAGAAAATTTTGGTGGTCCACAGAAAAATTATTTGCATTTTTTATATTGCACTAAATCAGGGGTCCTCAAACTATGGCCCCTGGGACAGATACGTGCAATGAATATTTGTGTTGCTGCAGAGTGTCTCCCCCTTTGGGGTCTTTTTGTGTGGGTCGGAGGGGGACAGAAATTCCAACTTAGGATCTGCTTTGGCCTCTTGGTGCAGGGCTTTGGGCAAAGGCTGGAGGGAAGCACCGCTGGTGGTGAGGAGCCGGAGGGCCTCGTTCCAATGGGACTGCATCATGGCCTGAAACTGGCTGACCATCTCAGCCTGCTGAGCCTCCAGGCACCGATACTTGGCCTTGCACTCCTGCAGGTCTTCGCTCTGCTTGGAAAGCCTATGCTCATAGTCCTCACTGAGGTGCTTCTGCTGAGCCTCCTTCTCGGTCAGATCCAATTTGAACTGAGCTGTTTTGCCAACTCTTTCTCATGGTGGCTGCTTAGCTCCAACAACTGCTTCCTGTTGGGGCCCTAAGGAGCCCAGACAGGCAGGCAAGGAGTGGCTGGGAGGAGAGGGCGAGTAGAGGCTGGCAAGGCCCCCTTCAACATGAGTGACATCGAATTGGCCATGCCCACCCAGTCACATGACCACCTCGCCATGCCCACCCAGGTGGTCATTAGGCAGATCATATTAGTGGTCTGCGGGATTTAAAATTATGAATTTAGTGGTCCCTGAGGTCCAAAAGGTTGGTGACCCCCGCACTATGCTATTAACAACACAGCAGCAGCAGCAGCAGCAGCAGCAGCAGCAGCAACAACAACAACAACCATCTCTGAAGACACAGTTCTGTGGCCTTGCTTTTAAAAGTCAATGGTTTCATAATTATTATTTTTTTTATTATTTGATTTATATGCCGCCCTTCTCCGGAGACTCAGGGCAGCTTACAATGCGTAAAGCAATAGCCTTCATACTTTTGTATATTTATACAAAGTCAGCTTATTTCCCCCACAAACTGGGTCCTCAATTTACCTACCTTAGAAAGGATGGAAGGCTGAGTCAACCTTGAGCCTGGGGAGATTCAAACTTGCAGTAATTGCAGGCAGCTGAATGTTAATAACAGGCTATTAGTCTGCTGCGCCACCAGTCTCTTCTTAATTTGTATTTTAATGCATTCAATATTCTTCTATTTGTTTAAAAGCTTTGTATATGCTTTTGTGTTCAGTGTTCAGTTTGAATGGAGAGATGACATTTAAGTCATGTGAGGAAGTATTTCTTTGTTGTTTGTTTATTTGGTTTATTTATTTGGTGGAGTCAGATCCAGACATCACACAACTTACAAAACAAATAGACAAGTTCTATAGTCCTTCTACAGTTGAGTCATCTTTACATTGCAGGAGGAAAAGTATTATCTGAATGCAAATATTCCTCTTGATGATGTTGAGAAGAAACAACCTGGAGTTTACTAATTTATGCCTTGTTGCCATGGATATGATTGAAATATTATGCCTTGACACTGTGACTTCAGGATCAAATAAGGAAACACATGTATGAAAAAACAGAACATGAGCAGATGACACACTTCTTATTTTATTTTGGAATATCTTTCTTAATTAGTCATGGCGTCAAGGCTATTCATTTAAAAACACATAGATAAGTGGATTTCTGCTTCTGTTTAATACATCCTGGAGGTCTTACTTCATGATTATAATAATCCTCTTTAAAAGGTTTCTGTGTTTAACAAGTGCAAACAAGTAGTTTCTCCTCCAGTTTTAAATTGAATAATATTTCTAAATAAATGTTATAATAATGGCAGATGGTGACATGTAACTCTATAGTTTTAGGAGTGACCTTATATGTCAAATTCTCACAGCATTGCAAGGTCAGACAAGGATTTAAGCCAGGTCATGCAGAACATTATGAGTAAAATAGTCTCTATTCCATACAGTGGTCTCTGTAATAAAAATGATACTTATTAGATATACAACATTTGCAAAACTTCAGACAACTATTAGATAACAGTAATAAGATACTGACAGCACAAAATCTTTGCTGCCATCTTGCAGACCTCTAGTATCTGTAGCCCAGATATCATTTCCCTAATACTGATTGATTTATTGCAATTGCAGTGTATCATGTGAATTAGAATTGTCAGAAGTTAATTAAGATTAAAACTAGGAAATTCAAGTTTGAGAACTAAGGATACATTTACTGTAGATTTCTAAGATGTTATGGACATGCTGGCAAATGACTGCCCCAGGAAGGTTGTCTATTGACAAAATGGCTGCCATGTTAATGGCATTTCTGAAACAGCAAACCAATGAAGATTAAAGTAAACTGAATTAATTAAAGCTGCTCATTCAGAAAGAAACTGGACCTGAGAGCCAAAATCCAAAACCATTTCTCAGGCAACAATGTTCTGCTCCAAATCTATTTCACAGAAGAAAAACTCAAGAAGCTGAGCAGCTTCTTTCAGAACTTCAAATGTCATATCTTGTATTTCCTCTCATAAGACACATTAAAAATGTTTTACAGCACCACAGACCATAACAAAGGAGAGAGAATATATCTACCAAAATACATACACACTGCATATAGCAATCCAAGCTATAGATCCCATCAAAATAAAAAACCTACAGCATCAATATATGCAGTGAACAAGACAGCAAAAAAAAGTTAAATTTTAACTAACTAAAATTTAACTAGTTAAATTTTAAAAAAAGCAAGTAAAGCAGTTACAACAATGATTATTTCTCACACGTATATAGTTATCTGAAGTCACTTTGGATAATGGGATCGGCGGCATATATAATTTAATAAATAAAAATAAAATTTAGGAGAGTCTTCTAGTCCTCATACAAAAACACTACTACTGCCCTTATTTCATGGGAAAGCTTAAAAATAAAGGATTCAGACATCCATCATTTTTATTTTCTAAAAAATGCCTTTTTTTAACTGTGTTGTACCCAAAACTTTACTGGAAATAAAAATACGTGACCAATTAACTTTTAAAACATTAGAAGAAAAAAATAAATAAGAGAAAAGAACCCTGTGAGGCAAAAAGGATATGTACACAGAGACTACATTATGGACTGCATATAAGAGCCTTGATAGTACAGTGGTTTAATGCACCCTGTTATTAACACAGCTGCCTGCAATTTCTGCTGGTTTGAATCTCTCCAAGGCTCAAGGTTGACTCAGCCTTCCATCCTTTCTAAGGTAGGTGAAATGAGGACCCAGTTTGTGGGGGCAATAAACTGACTTTGTATAAAATATACAAAAGAATGAAGGCTATTGCTTAACGCATTGTAAGCCGCCCTGAGTCTCTGGAGAAGGGCGGCATATAAATCAAATTAAAAAAAAAAATAAAACAAGTAAACATGATTTTCACAACTGATCATAGTTCCATAGTTCTCCACCCTGATATACTTTCAATTATCCATTCATTTATTATATCTTTGTCACTCAAAATAGAATAGAATAGAATTCTTTATTGGCCAAGTGTGATTGGACACACAAGGAATTTGTCTTGGTATATTATGGATTCATATAACAGTTCAATTATCATGATACAATTAGTTCACCAAAACAAAGTTTCTTTTGTTACAGTGCTAATAGAGGTCATGATTCCTGGGGAAACATTTGGCTGAAGACAGATAACAATTTATTATATCAACAAGTAAGTAAGAAAACCATTTAAAATACATATATGGGATGGAGAAGCAATAGCATTTAGATTTATATACCGCTTCATAGTGATTTACAGCCCTTTCTAAGCAGTTTACAGAGTTAGTATATTGCCCCCAACAATCTGGGTTCTCATTTTACCGACTTTGGAAGGAAGGAAGGCAGGCTGAGTCAACGTTGAGCTGGTCAGGAACAAACTGCTGGCAGTCAGCAGAGTTAGCCTGTAATACTGCATTCTAATCACTGCGCCACCACGGCTCTTCCATAACTCATTGATTATCTTTGCAGCCTTAAAGCTACAACACATTTTCTACGAAGTTGGCACAAATTGAGGGAACATCTGCAGTAAACTTGCAATAATGCCAAAATGATGTTCATGGTGATGTCATCACAAAAATGCTGCCATATTGTATAATTGCATAGCTATGCAACTTCATAAGACACAGCACTTTCCCAATATTACTGCATATATATTGCACAAGTGTGTGTGAGCATGCACCCACCCCTCCACCCACACAACCCCCCCTCCACACACACACAAACCTATCTTCTCTGCAGATAGCCATGTTCTAATCCT